GTCAATGCTCACCGCATGGTAGGGATGTCTCCTCTTTTGAATGCTGCAAAAATGCCTTGCAGCTCCTCAAAACAACATTCTGGTAATGTTGCCAGGAAGATTTGTTCCCGAAATGATCCTCCAAATGTCCCAGCCTGTTATCCAAACTGAAGATAGTTTTTGCTGATGATGTATCACCTTTAGGTTAGTACATTTTGATATTAAAAGATCTCGTACATCTTTTAAAATTTCTTAAACTATCAGTATGCAAGCTTTTTTGTAAAAGGTCGGAAAATGTACGACTTTGAAAGAAGCATTAGGTTAATTTCAAAAGAACTTGCCACAATTCACCTTTGGTGAATAGTATTTTTTAATTTTGTTTAAACAAATGATTAGACACAGTTTCAAGGGGAGATAATTATGAATTGATGAAAATTTAAGGTCATCTTTTAAAATAAGATTCTCTTACAGATAAACAGTACACCGGAAAAGCTAAGCATGTGAAAGTTTTATTAAAATTTAGATAGTACAGATTTTAGTTTGTTTAAATTGGGGAAGGGGGGGGGGGCACAATGGACAATCAAAGTTTTAGATACATGTAGGAAGATTTTTTTTTTAAATCTGAACAACAAAGCTGAGACTAGCATGCAGGAAGAATATCAAGTTTGTCTTTTATAGAGCAAAAAAGGTTCAGTTACACAAGCATTCTCATGGAAAGTAAAATCAGATTTGTTCAAATTTAGACCCATTGGACTAGGGTGAGGCCAAAGTTTTATATAGGAAAAATAACAACAACAAAAAAAAAATCTTTTCAAGAACAGCAAAGTCATAGGTAGTCATATTTCTAGGTAAGCATCCTCTTGTTATGAAGACTAAAGTTTGTTCAAATCATGAACCCTTCCCCTGTCTCTATAAAGAGGGAGGGGGTTATTTATTAAAAGTTTTCAATACTCAACTAATTTCTGCTTTCAGCAAATCAAAGTGCTTAGTTGAGTGATGTTGTTCATGGGTGGGTCTTGTACTGCCGAGAAAGCAAGGTTACTGTCTGTCTCACAACATTAGGCTAATTGTTAATTTGTATAAGTATCGCGTCAGAAAGCAAACTTGGAATGTTTATTACCAAACGCACGGAGCCACCACCAGGTTACAGAAGCTGTGTACGAGTCGTGCTGTCTGATAGTAAAGCCAACTAGATGAAAATGTTTTACAAACTACCGAAAAAGAAACTTTTTATGGAAGAAATCAATCAACAGAAAAAACAATGGCAACATATGGTTGTGTTTGGTTATGCACTTGTAACCTTACTTCAAAAAATAAACACTTTATTTTTCTTAGTTCTGATTATGGGGATGACATTGATCAAATTATTTTGAAATACAAAGAAATTACAGGAATTGTTAAGAATTATCCAAGCTCTAGAGTAGCTTTCTTAGAACCTCAGTATATTAAATTAAATAATGGAGTAAATCCAGAGGACACAAAGACCACAAACTCTTTTGAAATTGCCACTGATAAATATAGACAACAAATATGCATGTTATATAACAGTAACAAAATGAGAGAATTAAACAGTCAGGAGTATACTCCCCTTAGTTTCCTTCAGATTTGAGTGCCAGTGATAAATATCGGTGTGGCAAAAATAGAGAAAAAAATACTACAATTTTAAACCTGATTACAATGCTATTCATCCTGACACTCTTTAGCAAAATATTGGTTAATAAAAGAATCGAAAAGGAAAAACGAGACTGTTGGACATAAAATAAATGTAATAGAGTTATAGAACTGCCTTCCCATTTAATGAAAAATGCATCTAAATTTGCTTAAGACTTAGTAGATCATTAACCTGGAGCTGTGCCGGCGAAGAATTTATTCTTTGCTTCCGGGTCTGGTTTGAAGCCGGATTGGTTAATTTAATCAATATTTTATAATGTAAAGTCAAATAACATTATTGGATTGGACATCAGGCATTGGCTATATAATATTAAGTCCTCTCCAAGCCGGATGACTTCAATTTTTCAATCCTCAACTTCCCTTACTTATGTAGCAATATACCCTTATCACCTGCGTATGTTTTTTTTTCTTTAAGTTGATACGATACGCAAGAGCCTGCTCTTCGTATGAACAATTTATAAAACGAGGCAAGGTATTGACAAACAAGTTGATGAAACAAGGATATCAACAATCTCGTTTGCAGTCTTCATTTCGCAAGTTTAATAAATGGGCGATACAATGCCCTTCTCAGCAAACACAACCTATCATTATGTCACATGCTGACTGACGTTTTTATGCCCCTGGATCGAAAGATCCCGGGGTATATTGTTTTTGTCCTTTCTGTCTGTTTATCTGTTTGTCCGTTTGTCTGTCTGTCTGTTGTCAACTTTAACCTTGCCCATAACTTTTGATTGGTTGGAGCTATGACTTTCATATTTCACATGTGTATTCCTTGTGACAAGACCTTTCTTTGGGTACCATCATATTTGACCTTGACCTTGGAGTTTGACCCACTTTTGCAAAATTTTATGAGACTTTAACCTTGGCCATAACTTCTGAACAGTTGGTGCTTGGGGTTTCAAACTTCACATGTGTATTCCTTGTGACAAGGCCTTCCTTTGCATACCAACAACTTTGACCTTGACCTTGGACTTTGACCTACTTTTGAAAAACTTTAACCTTGGCCATAACTTTTGAACAGTTGGTGCTTAGGGTTTCAAACTTCACATGTGTATTCTTTGTGACAAGACCTTCCTCTGGATATCAACCACTTTGACCCTTTGACCTTGACCTAGGCGTTTGACTTACTTTTGAAAAACTTTAACCTTGGCCATAACTTTTGAATGATTGGAGCTAGGGCTTTCATACTTCACATATGTAATCCTTGTGACAAGACCTTCCTTTGAATACTAACCACTTTGATCTTTTGCCCTTGACCTAGGAGTTTGACCTACTTTTGAAAAACTTTAACCTTGGCCATAACTTTTGAATGGTTGATGCTAGGGCTTTCATACTTCACATATGTAATCCTTGTGACAAGACCTTCCTTTGGATACCAACCACTTTGACCTTGACGTAGGAGTTTGACTTACTTTTGAAAAACTTTAACCTTAGCCATAACTTTTGAATGGTGGGTGCCAGGGCTTTCATACTTCACATATGTAATCCTTGTGACAAGATCTTCCTTTGGATACCAACCACTTTGACCTTGACCTTGACGTTTGACTTTTATTTAAAAAACTTTAACCTTCGCCATAACTTTTGAACAGTTGTATCTAGGTCTTTCAAATTTCACAGGTGTATTCCTCGAGACAAGACCTTTCTTTGGGTATCAACATTTTTTTATCTTTTGGGCTGGATTTTGACTTGCATTTGAGGAACTTTAACCTTCGCCATAAGCTGCCATACGGGGGCATCAGTGTTTCACAAACACATCTTGTTCATACTAATTGTTAGGCTATAGGACCACCGCGAGGCATGTCCAGATGTCCGGTCAGTTTGGTATACTGTGGCGATCTGTTATTTAAATAAGCGACCGAATTAATTCTGTAGTAGATTAATCACTGCGAGATATTAAACCGTTCAACGCTGTATTCTCTTTCACATAGGATTATTACATACAGATAAAGATACTGAAATGAAACAAATAATAATGAAGGAAATTGAATAGCATTTTTATAAAAAGAAGAGTTAGAAAAAAAATATGAATTATTGGGTAGTAATGTTTATGTGGAGAGAAAAGTCTTGATTGTACATGAAATCCTACTCCCCTGGCTCTCTATGATCTCTTTGGTCACTTTGATTAAGTATTAAACACCTTTATGCACAATTATACACACTTGATCTATTGTCTCCATGACTTTATCTGACATAATCTTATCAACTGACAATCAGGACGCCACAGTAACACAATTGGCTATTTTCCTTCATAAATAATCTTTATGTCAATCTTTTATAAAGCTTTACAGACAAATATACGACTTTGAGCATGCTTTGCTCATTTAAACCAGATATCCCTTTTACTTTTGTTTCTATAGTTAACATTCTTTCTTGTATCCACATTCAATGAAATAACCTGTTAATTAAATTATATATATGAGTTTCTTGATTACTACATTACTTGATTAATACAGTTAAGTACAAAGGAAAAATGTCCACATGTGTTAAACATATGTTTGGTTTCACATGTGTTCAACATGTGTTTTATACATGTAATACATGTGTGTAAATATACACATGTAAAATATGTGTTTCATTTATATGTAAAACATATATAATATACATGTATAATACACCTGTGAGAAAATATATATGTTGAACACATGTTCTTCACCACATATGTATAACATATATTTTATATATGTTATACATGTGTGCAAAAATACAGATGAATTATACATGTTTGATTTATATGAAATATATGTGTATTCATGTACACATGTAATACACATGTTAAGTTATATCCATGTTTAATATATGTTGAATATCCCAGGTATATTAAGCAATTGATTTCTTTCTTTTTTTTTTTTTTTTTTTTTTTTTTTGGTTGTAATTTCTAAATAATTAAGATATTAATGCAAATTTCAAATGAACATATTCTAATGGAAAATAGAATACCAGCACTACTTTTTCTTTCTTTGAATGATTCTTCTTTTACATTATGAAAAGAAAATGAAAACACTTGTCAAAGTATATACACTTATATTTGACTTTCAATAATGTTATATATATGCTCCAGTGTTCATAAAGAATAAATTCAAAAAGTAATCAAGAACATAGCCTTTACAAATATGATTCACATATGTACTTTGAAACATCAAAACATTCAAATAAGAATAGGAAACATGATAGAAGCATGTCAAGACCCCAAAGGGAACAATCAGATCAAACACTCGGACTTAAATTTCTATTCACTCTTTTGATACAATCACTCCATATGAATAATTACCAGAATTCATATGGATTCTAATAATTCTGCTTTGTTATAAATATCAAAAGATAAGTTTCTCACAGAGATTCCAAAATATTATATGGAGTAATCACTATCCTTAAAAATACTATCGAGACTTTCAATTGTTGAAAATCAATAAACTTTCTTTAATGGTGGTAGACACATTGCATCACTCCAAGGGTGACATATTCCTAAGAGAATGGATTTTTTACACTTATATTTCACATCCAAAAATCCACTATTTCAAATATTAAGCTATATAAGTAAAAGACCAGGAAGAATATAAAACTTTCAAATAACGTTAAATAATATTTTGTAAAATAGATTTTTAAACATCTTGTAAAATCACAATTTGTGTTGTTTCAATGGACCTTTGAGTTTGATTACTGTTTGTTGCATTGATTTTACACAATATTGACAATCATTACAAAACTACAAAAACCATCTATTGTCTTATTTCCCCCAAAAAACTGAAAATATTGTAATTCCAACTTTGGGGTCACTTTAATACTTTACATGGAAAACCAAGCAAAGAGTTTCACAACCTGAATCTATTCAAAATGTAAAAGTTGAACTCTCTGTGTTTTACAAACATAGTGTTACTGATGTTGTCTTTTTTTTACAGGACACTGAACATCTTTGCAGTTGTGAAAAACCTCTTCCAACTGAATAATTTTACAGGGGTGCTTAAAAATATGTCCGTCCTTTAGCCGTAAAAGTGGACACCCTGTTTCTTCTGAACAGCCAACTTTCTCCAAAATCTGTATCTTAACAGCATATATTACTTCTGCACTTCTCTTCTTCACAACTAGTGCTTCTTTAAAAATTCCAACCATGGACTGTAAACATATTTACAAATTGTAATCAAGTTTTAATGTGCAAATGTTACATTTTATAGAAAGCATATTTCCAGTTCCTGAAAGGAAAATTTTGTGTTTGTCCTTGGTTGGATACACAGGAAGAGAATTTCAAGGTAAATGTAAATGATTTTTAAAAAACGATATTAAGCATAATTAATAGATAAGTTTATTATTATTATTATTGATCAGAATTGTACATCATAATCTGTATGATTTTTATGTGCAGATAGAAGTGAAGCAGTATATTTGTGACCAGAACGCACATAAATACAAAGTTATCTGTAGTTATGCATCACATAAATTCACGCAGCTTCGAAACCAGCTCAGAAAGATGGTATGTGAAATCTATGGTAGTGCATTTATTTGCCTGAATGTGTGTTTTTATATATAAAATAAAACACTCTCATAACAATTAAGTGAAAGTAATTAAGTATCAGGGACAGACAATAAATTCACAATATATTTTAAATCCACAGAGAATGATATTCACTTTGCTGTAACATCAACTCTTTTTATTGTGTTTAAATATGTGTGTTTTATTGTAAATAATACATGTATAATTGTGGTTGAAACATCAATAACTGTAACACGATTTATCGTAAATATTATGAAACAATTCCTCACCGTATCAATTTGCTTGATATTACAATTGGATTTTAAATAAATAAAAATCATATGGTGTAATTTTGTCAACTTTCAAGAAAAAAGACTTGCCTGCAGCAATGAGTTTTTATATTTTTTGACTGAGAAACTAAAAATTAATTTTCTGAGCCTTTTATATCTTTGATAAATTTGTACTTTTCATGTAGGTATAAAATATGCACTAAGGAATAATTTATTAACATAAAATGTTTTAAAATCATACTACTTGTAGGTGTTCCACTCCACAATGGACATTCGTGGACTATCCCTGGAAGGTCTGTGCAATTATTTGTACAGGCCTTTCACTCCACCTGGAGAAAGCCCAGTGGACCAGAAGAGGATGAGGTTGACTGTAGCAATTGTAAGTTTCAATAACAATAAAACTGATATTCTATGATAGAATTACCTATGTTTGCAGCATGGATGGGGTAATTGAAACAAGAGGCCCATGGGCCACATCGCTCACCTGAGCACATTGGCTGGGCAAAAGCACAAATCAGTTCAGTATTGAAAAGATTACCTGGGAGTCTGTGTGTGTGGGGGGGGGGGGGAGGGGGGCTTGAATTTTAAACTACCTGATGATGCTTCCCTGTCAATATAACAAATGGCTTTATTGTACTTGAGAAGATTTTTAAAAATTTTTCCCATATATTCCTTTGTAAAAATTTGATTCTCCATTGTGGCTCCTCCCTATCCCAGGGGTCATCATTTGAACTTGAATCTACACTACCTGAGGATGCTTCGATATCAATAAGACTAAACATAGCTTTCCTGTACTTGAGAAAAAAATATTTTTTCTATATGTTCTTATGTAAAACATTCGATCCCCCAATGGGCCCCATCCAACCCCTGGGGGTCATCATTTGAACAAAATTGAATCTACACTACCTGAGGATGCTTCCATATCAAAATGACTAATCATGGTTTGCAGTTCTTCAGAAGAAGATATTTCCCTATATATTTCTACTTAAGGCTTTGATCCTCCATTGTGGCCCCATCCTACCCACGGGGGTCATGATTTGAACAAAATAGAATCTACACTACCTGAGGATGCTTCCATATAAATATGATCAATCA